AGGAAGTGTGGCCCGTCTCCTTTCCAAGCCTGGCAGGCTGAGGCGTTCGCTTCGCGCGAATCCGAGGGGACCCCTCACTCCTTGCCCGCGGCGGAGGAGGAGGAGGAGGAGGAGGAGGAGGAGGAGGAGGAGGAGGAGGGGGGAGGAGGAGGAGGAGGAGGAGGAGGAGGAGGAGGAGGAGGAGGAGGAGGAGGAGGAGGAGGAGGAGGAAGCTGCGGTGCGGGTCCTGGGGCGGCCCGTGCAGGGGAGTGCCCCCGGGCACCGCCGACGGAGGTGCTCCCCGTTCCCGCCGGCGCCCTCGGCCACAGTGTAGCAGCACACTGGCAGCGTGCTGCTCTGCTCGCCGTGCTCAGCCCACGCCATATTTGAGGGGGCCCTGGGACACACAAATAAACACACATTCATACAAAGATTCCCCTCATTTTCACATAGTTTCTGGGTTTTTGTTTCTCCCCCCCTTCCCATATTTTCCCATAGTTTCGGGGGAATCGAGGATGAATTGTGTCTGTCTATGTTTTCCCCTCCAGAATATTTCCTGGTGGGGCCTTCCGCGGGCTCGACAGTCGATGGAAAGGTGGGTCCACGCATCCGTCTGCTCGGAGCTCTCAGGCCACCAAAATCCACCTTTGACCGTGCGTGATTTTTTGGGGGGGGAGTCTGTCGAGCACCGGTGCTCTGCTGCCTGGTATGAGCCGCCGCTGGAAACAAAAAATCCCCCCCGCGACTCTCTTTCTCTCTCTCTCTCTCTCTCTCTCTCGTTGCCATCGCGTGTTTCATGCCGTGATTCGCGGTTTCCTTGGCATTGGGCCGAGACCTTGTAAGCCAAGCGATCCCGCACGGATCGGTTGCGACATGGTTGCGCACCCCTCGTCCTCCCCTTCCTCCTCCTCCTCAGCCGAATCTTCCTCATCCTCATCCTCTTCCTCCTCCTCTTGCTCAAACTACTCCTCACAATCATCAGCATCAGCATGACCAGCAGCGAAAGCACCACCATCACCTTCCTCACCATCACCAGCACCATCACCGCCACCATCATCACCATCAGACTGAGCCTGAGCCTCAGCCGCAGCCTCATCACCATCGTCACCGCCACCTAAATCATCACCAGCATGACCACAACCATCATCATCGCCATCGCCATTACCATCAACAACCTCAGCATCAGCATCAGCATCATCGTCAGCCTACGAACCATCAGCAGCATCATCATGATCATTAGCACCATCAGCATCAGCAGCATCAATATTATCATCATCACCACCACCATCGTCGCCATGACTACGACCACCTTGGTCATCATGAGAATAGTCAGCATCCTCAGCATCATCATCATAAGAATCACCATCACTGATATCAGCATCATCATCATCATCACCAGCATCATCGTCATCATTAGCAACAGCATCATCATCAGCAGCATCATCCTCATCACCAGCATCATCGGCATCGTCAGCAGCGTCATCATCATCCTCATCATCATCATCAGCAGCAGCATCACCAGCATCATCCGCATCATCATCATCATTAACAGCATCACCATCATCATCAACGTCATCATCGTCAGCAGCCGCCTCACATGCATCAGCAGCCTCATCATCAGCATCAACATGCTCGTCAACCTCAACATCGTCGTCATCCTAGTCATCACCATACATTGCATCGTCATCATCAACATCACCAACATAATCAACATCACCATCGACATCCTCATAAACACAAATGTCATCATTAGCATCGTCATCATCAGCGGTGTCGGAATCGTCATCAGTGTCATGCGAACCAGCATCAGAATCGGCATCAGCAACATCATCATCAACACAACCAACAACATCGGCATCATCGTCATCATCATCATCAACATCGTCATCATCATCATACGCCTCATCAACAGTATCAGCATCAGCATCATCAGCATCAACACCAGCACCAACACCAGCATCATCAGCATTCTCAGCATTGCTATCATCATCATGATCACCATCGGCATCACCATAACCATCATCATGAACATCAGCAGCATCAGCACCAGCATCATCAACAGCATCATCATCAGCATCATCATCCCATAATCATCCTCATCATCATCAGCCGCAGCAACAACATCCCCATCATCATCATCATCAGCAGCAGCATCATCATCACCATCATCCACATCATCATCAGCATCATCGTCGTATTGCCATCATCATGTTTATCGTGGTCACCATGGTCTGTTCAATACGCAGCAGTATCAGCATCAGCCTCATCATCACCATCATCGTCAGCATCACCATCATCAGCATTATCACTAGCGCCATCACCGTCATCATCATCGTCATCATAACTGTCAACATCATCATCATCACCAGCACCATCATCAGCATCATCAGCATCAGCATCATCGCCATCACCATCATCACCACCACCACCACCATCATCATCATCATCATCATTAGCAGAAGCATCATTTGCACCATCATCAGCATCATCATCAGCATCATCATCATCGCCATCACCATCGTCACCGCCACCACCATCATCATCATAATCCTTAGCATCATCATCAGTATCATCGGCGACATCATCATAATTGTAAGCATCAGCATCATCATCATCATCGCCATCATCATCGTCATCGCCAGCATCGTCGAACCCTTGCAGGGACCAATGAAAAGGGAACTTGGAGGGAGGGTGTATTACAACATCGTTGATGTGTCTTGGGTTTACACTGGTCCTCCTCCTCCTCCTCGTCCGCCTCCGCGTCCGCCTCCTCCTCCTCATCATCCTCCTCTTCCTCCTCTTCCTCTTCCTCCTCCTTGTGCTCCTCATCCTCCGCCTCGACCTCCTGCTCCTCCTTTTCCTGCTCCTGCTCCTGGCCCATCCCGCTCTTGCTTATACTCCTCCTGCTCCTCCTCTCGCTCATCCTCCTTCTCCTCCTCCTCGTCCGCCTCCGCGTCCGCCCCTTCATCCCCCCGCTCCTCCTCCTCCTCCTCCTCCTCCTCCTCCTCCTCCTCCTCCTCCTCCTCCTCCTCCTCCTCCTCCTCCTCCTCCTCCTCCTCTTCCTCCTCCTCCTCCTCCTCCTCCTCCTCCTCCTCCTCCTCCTCCTCCTCCTCCTCCTCCTCCTCCTCCTCCTCCTCCTCCTCCTCCTCCTCCTCCTCCTCCTCCCCTCCTCCTCCTCCTCCTCCCTCCTCCTCCCTCCTCCCTCCTCCTCCCTCCCCCTCCTCCCTCCTCCCTCCTCCCTCCTCCCTCCTCCCTCCCTCCTCCCTCCTCCCTCCTCCCTCCTCCCTCCTCCCTCCTCCCTCCTCCCTCCTGGGGGCCCCGATCGACGAGGCCCTCTTCCTCCAGCCCCTCCTCGACCGGGCGCGCGCCATGATTCGCGATGGCGCCAAGAAGCTCTTCGCCGCCATGTCCGACCTGGGTTTCGGCGCGCCTATGCAGGTGGCTCAGCTGCCCGTGCGAGTGGAGGCGGCCGCCCTGTTCGGCACCGAGTTCCTCGCCAGCTGCGCGGCGAAGTGGTCGGGCGTGCTCTCCCGCCTCAACTGCGCCTATTATTACGAGGTGGCGAAGCTGCTCCTGGCGGGGCCGGCGGCGCGGTTATCCCTGGGCGCGGGGGGCCAGGTGCGCGCCTTCCTCGAGACCAGGCTGCTCACGCGGGTGGGGTCCCGGCTGACCCGGCGGGTCGTGCTGGCCCGGGCGCGCTTGCTGTCGCCCCCCCCGACCTCGCCCGCGGCGCCGGCCGTCGGGGCGGCGCTGGTGGCGGCGGGCGGCGACACATGGCTGGGCCACGCGGAACGCATCGCGCGGGACCTGGGCGTCAACGCCTGGCCGACTGCCCCGCCAGGGGCAACGGGCCCAGCCCGCCGGGCGGCCGCGCGCGCACGGGCTCGCAGGACGGTCGACCCCCTGCTCGAGGCCGCGGAAGCCAAGTGGTTCACGGAGCGGGCGGCGCGTCTGGGCGACGACGGTCTCGTCTCCCTCGCAGACCTGCTGCCCCTCCGGCAGCCCTGGCCGCAGGCACTCCGCTGGGCGCCGTGGGGCCGCACCACGTGGCGCTTCCACCGCGCCTGGTCAGCGGCGCGGGTTTCGAACGACGTCCCCACTTGGACGTGGGGGCTGCCGCCGCCCCCGCCCGAGGCGCCCTGCCCGCTGCGCGGGGGCGTCGAATCGGGCCTCCAGCACCTCCTGGCCACCTGCTCGGCCGTCGCTGGGCCGCGCCAGGAAGCGTGCTCCTGCCAGCCGCCCACGCCATCAGGACTGCCGGCGCGGGCCCTCGGCGACACGGCGGACGTGCGCGAGCTGGAGGCGAAGGCGAGGCTCGTCGGCGCCATCGCGGCTGCAGCGGTGCACGCCTTGAAGGACGAGCCAATGTAAAAAAGGCCGCCCCCCCCCCCTCCCCCCGCCGGACCCTCTCGGACGCCGCCCGGCGGCGGGTCGGAGGCCATTTTGGTGCGAATGTCCCGAGCGGTATTTTGCCGAGTTCTTGGTAACTCGGCAAAAAAACCGCCCGTGACTTCCTGCGCCGGGAGGGCGCCTGGCCGCCTCCCCGGCGGGCGTCGGGGCGGGTTCGGGGATCGCGCCGGGGGTGCCCGGGGGCTTCGTGGGAGCCGCGGGGGACGTGGTGGCCTTGCGCGGCTACCGGCCAACGCCTGCGCGGCGCGGCCCGGCGGGGGCGGGCCCACTCCCCTCCTCTCGCCCCTGCCCTGCCGTGCTCCTCCCCCTCCCGCCCCGCCCTGCCCCCCCTCCCGCCACTCCTCTCCGCCCCACCCCACCCCACTTCTCCTCGCCTCTTCCTCGGGAGGGAGGACGGCCCGCACCGCGGTGACGTCCGGCACCCCTGGCGCGGCAGCCGTTGGCCCAGCGGGGCGGTTGCTTGACCGCGCCGGGGTGCTACCGCGGCCCGAGGGCCGGAGTCACAACTGCGAGTCCTAAAGCGAGTTCTCCTCCCTCCTCCCTCCTCCCTCCTCCCTCCTCCCTCCTCCCTCCTCCCTCCTCCCTCCTCCCTCCTCCCTCCTCGGCGCGGCCGGGAGCGTGCTCGTGGTTGACGCGATCGTGGCGCTCGTGCTTGGCGAGTCCGTCGGCGCCTCAGGCTTCAGCGTGGGCGCTGGGGTCGGCGCCTTCTCGGGGGAGAGGGGCGCGGCAACGGTGCCTTCGCATACGGCCCCAGCATCGGGTCGATGAATCGCATCGGATCGGGTCATCCTCCCAAGGGGGGGGGGGGGGTCCCAGGGGGGAGCCCTGTTCCTCCTCCTCCTCCTCCTCCTCCTCCTCCTCCTCCTCCTCCTCCTCCTCCTCCTCCTCCTCCTCCTCCTCCTCCTCCTCCTCCTCCTCCTCCTCCTCCTCCTCATCGTCCTCCCTTCCCGAGGCTCTCGAAGCCACAGTTGGGCTCCCCTGGAAATGCTTCTGAGGACGCATCCTGGGCCTGGCATGAAGGGCGGCAGCGTTCGGCGCGTGCCCCCCCCCAGCTTCGACCACATCACGAATGGGAAGTGGCCAAAACGCCTCCCGCGTGGTGAGGATCGTGAATATCCTTTAGGAGACAACTCCCCAGAGGCCTTCGTGAGAACGATTTGGGGGCTGATGGGCCAATGCAAGGGGCCAGTAAGTGAAATTGAACCGGATTGAGCCCACGATCAAGCCAGACTGAGCTGGACTGGGCTGTGCTAAGCTTAAGTCGGGCCTGTCCCCCTACAGGGGGACTTTCGACGAAACATAAACAATTCCCAAAAAATAATCAAAAAAAATAGCCCAAAAATAGTCAGGGAACTATTTGTTGAGTATGTGTTGGCCTTTTTTGCTTACTTTTGGGTATTTTTTCCTGTCGGAAATCCCCCTGTAGGGGGACAGGCCCGACAGAATGCTAAGCCTGAATACGCGGAAGTATGCCAGATTGGGCCAGGTTTTGGCCACGGCTGCGCCAGCGCCGATGCCGAAGTCAGCCTCGTGAGGAGTGAATCCTAGCATCCCGGGGGTCTGCTGGGGCCATGTTGGGCCGTCTTGGGGGGTCTCGGGGCCCTCTTGGGCTCCTCTGGGCCGTCTCGTGAGCCTCCTTGAGCCGTCGTGGAGCCATCTGGGGTTCTTGGAACGTCTCGAGCTCCTCCGGGGGCCTTCTTTTTTTTGGGGGGGGGACCACTTGGGGGACCTGTTGGGATGCCTTGGGTACCACCTGGGTCCCGAGTGGATACGTCGGGCCCCTTGGCCGACTTAACCGTTCCGAGCGGCGGATATTCCAAAGGTCCTCTTACAGCAGTAACCACGAAATAAGTCAAACACCAAAGAAAAATCAAGCATCTGAATCTCGGGGATATTCCAAGGGTCCTCTTACGGCTCCATGGACCTATCTATGGAGCTCTTGGCAGCCGTTCTGTGCTGTCTGGAGCCGTCTTGAAAGCGTCGCAGCTCTCCTTGGAATCTCGTGTCGCTTGCTCGTGCCCCCTGCGGGATGCCTGGGCCTCTCTGGGGCCCCCAGGAGCTGTTCTGAGAAGTCGCGGAGTCGCCCCCGAGGCCCTTCTCACAAACTAGAGGCTCGGGGTCCCGTTTGGGGACCCCCATCTCCTTCCCTGGCTTATAAGCGTGAGTGTATGCATACATGCGTGTATGCAGTGCTGGAACCATCGCGTGCACTTCGCGCGCGCGCGCAAGTTCGAGCCAGCTTGAAATCCCACCGCCTGGCGCGGCAGAATGAGCGAGCTTCGTCTCGGTAGAAACGGCCGACGTCGAAGCCAGGGGGGTCGTGATGAAGGCACGCCTCGAATTAGTTCTTGGGTTAGGGTCGGAATAAGGGTCGGCTTGAAGTGTTGGGTTCATGAATATACGATAAGGCTAGGTCTCGGCTTCGGGCTAGGAGTGGGGCACATGTCTGTCGAGAACCCAGGGTGTCAGAGCGAACGATGGGGGCTCGGGGCCATGGTGAGTGCCAGGGTCCACAGTTTCGAGCTTGAGGATGGGGCTAGGGTTTGGGCCGAGGGTTGAGGGATTCGTGGTCATTGCTTGGGTCTGGGATGATGTGCTGGCTATGTTTGCAAGGTTCGTGCCAACGTGAGTTCGGGCTCGGGGTAAGCCTACGATGAGTGTCAGAACCAACGATTTCGTGATCACGGCTGGCAGATAGCGTAGGGATTCATGCTTCGGCTCAGGGAGCAGGGGTTCGGGACTCAGCGTCAGGGCTTCGCGACTGGATCCGTGCCTGTGGTCAATGGAATACTGTTGCTGGTGAGATTCCAACAAGCATGTGAATGGATTGGGGACGAACTTGTTTACTGTACAAACTATCTTGGTTCCTCCCTCCTCCCGCTATTCACGATCGTTTCTCTCGTCTGGTTCTTCCTACGGACTCCATCGTCCTCGCACTCGCGCGGACACGCGCGCGCACGCATGCCCACCCGCGCACACATACCCGCGTACACCCGATCGCCTCCACCCACCCACATCCACACAAACGCAGCGCTACGACACGTGTAGTAGGGAGTGTAAGCAACGGGTCCAGTGAGAGAGCGAGGCGTGAATACAATGCTAGAATGCCCGCCCCCCGCCGTGTCTCTTACCCCTCTCCCCCTCCTACCTGCGTTGAAAACCCCAAGCGGAATGCCGCTCCAGTGCCAAATCCCTTACGAAGGGCAAAGGTTCCAGCAGCCCACGGCGCGCTGTTTAGAAGAAAAGAATGCCATAAACATAAACGTTTGGCGCTCCGTGCGGATTTCTTGGACCTGCGGCTGGACCCCACTCCCTGGCGCGCCGAGCGCGCCAGGGGCGGCGCCAGAGGCGCCGCCAATGGGGTCCCAGCGCAAATCCAAGACATCCGCGCGAAGCGCCGAAAGTTTTTATGGCATTGATTAGTTTTTCGACTTAACGAGGGAGAACGCTCCAGCAGCTCACGCCACAAGCACTGTGCGCTCCGACGCCCAAGCTCAACGAGGGACAGTGCTCCAGCAGCCCACGGCGTGCGCTCCGGCACAGCAGTGGTTACGAGGGGCAACCTGCCAGCAGCGCATGGCGTGCGCTCGGGCACCCAACTTTTACGAGGGACAGCGTTCCAGCAGCCCACGGCAGGCGTGGAGCGCGCACGGCTCTGGCGCTTGCGTCTGCTTCATCGTACGACACATTATTCTTCGCCCACCAAAGACAAGTTGCTCCTTCTCAGGCACCGTGCAATACGATGGCGTCAGCAGCGCCCCAAAACAAACACACACACACACACACACTGAAGACACGAATACCAAGCAAGACTAGTTTGAAGATCAGTGGCAACTGTTGGTGCCAGGGTCGGCTCTGATGTTGGTGCGGACATAGGCGCTGGCGTTGGTGAGGGAGTTGGCGCTGGCGTCGGTGCCAGCGTCGGTGGCGGCGTTGGTGCTGGTGTGGGCGCCTGAGTGTCTACAATGCCCCACCAACATATCTGCCGCCTGCGAATCCAACCTGACGCCACTGCCTCCATCAGCAGACACGTCGCGTTTCGACATCACCCAGCACAGGGCTTTCAACCCAGGAGGAAGACAGGGAAGACGAGAAGGATGAGGAGGACGAGGAGGAGGACGACGACGACGATCAGGATGGGGAGGAGAACGGGGAGAAATACGAGTAGTACGAGGACGAAGTGTGGGCATTCGAATGCGTGCAGGGCTACGCCCGATTGATGCTCACCGATTGGGCTGGCAGCGGGGCCCAAGCGGCGAGCTGTCTTGTCATCCGTTTCATTGTCATCATATTATTCCTGTTGCTCCTCATCGTCCTCCGCATGTCGGTCCTGAACTTCCTCCCACTCGTTCTCGCCACTGTCCGCCATTCCATCCTCTTGCTCCTTCGCCCACCAAAAACAAGTTGCTCCTTCTCAGGCGTCGTGCAATACGATGGCGTCAGCAGCGCCCCAAAACAAACACACACAGAAGATACGGATTCCAAGCAAGACTAATGTTGAAGATCAATGGCAACTGTTGGTGCCAGGGTCGGCTCTGATGTTGGTGCGGACGTAGGCGCTGGCGTTGGTGAGGGAGTTGGCGCTGGCGTCGGTGCCAGCGTCGGTGGCGGCGTTGGTGCTGGTGTGGGCGCCTGAGTGTCTACAGTGCCCCACCAACATATCTGCCGCTTGCGAATCCAACCTGACGCCACTGCCTCCATCAGCAGACACGTCGCGTTTCGACATCACCCAGCGCAGGGCTTTCAACCTGACACCAGGCCGCTCGCGGCACGGAAGCGTCACGAAATGAAGGCAACTCTGGACGCCAGCTGTCGTGCAACACCTGAGAGCCCCCAGGGCAGTCTCCAGGGTACCTTGGCTTCTGGACGCATCTCCACAGGCGCCTCCCCGGGATTCCTCGAGAACTCCTGGGCCTTCGGAGAACCCTCTGGGGGAACCCAACGATCTCTACGGTCTGGACGGGGCGGCCCAAAGCCGCACGCAGGCTTCGTGCGCAGGCTCCTCCTCCTCTTCCTCCTCCTCCTCCTCCTCCTCCTCCTCCTCCGCCACCTCCTCCTGCTCCTCGTCTTCCTACTGCTTGCTTTTTAGTGGTTGCTTCCGATGCACACAACATCGGGCCAGAAGTGCCCCGACCGCCCAGGTCTGTGTGGACGGCCCCTGGCTCGATTCGGCGACGAGCGAAGAAGGCCTTCTCAGAAGGCGGCAGGACTATCAGAAGCCCTCGCGCCTCCTGAGAAGTTTTCTGCGTCTTCGGGGAAGGTTTAGAATACTTCGCAGAGGGTCGGGGGACTTCCGAGCCTTCTGAGAATGCCTGCTCCTTCCCACTTCCCCCCCTCGCTCGCCGAGCCGATCGATGGGAGGCCCCACGAGCTCGTGCTGCGAGGCGCCAAGGTTTGCCAGGGCCCGCCGGCCAAGGCGAAGAGACCTCAGCCCCCCCCCCCACCCCAGGGGCCCTCCCCCGGGGGTTGCCACCCTGACGGGTGCCTAAGTAGTAGACGGGGAACTCTGGTCGATATGCAGTCGGGGAGACGTACGGCACGAGTTCGGGAACTCGAGTTGGCCTGGCGAGGCCGCCAAGAAAACGACGAAGCCCAGTCTGAAACTTGACGCGAGCCCCCGCGGCAAACATCCCACGAAAACCGGACCGCGAAAGTCCGGGACGGGCTCGCCAGAACTCAGCGGACCCGAGCCCTGGCGAATACAAAATCCTACGCTCCCCCCAGTGCAGGCGAGGGGCACGCTTCCTGCCGCCCTCCCGCACCCTCCCGCCCGAAGCGCGGCGGCGCTCTCCTGCCGGCCGAAACGCGGCGACCCTCTCCGCGCGCTGCTGGCCTACCGGCTGCCACGTGCTCCTCTCGGTGGCGCTGAGGGTCGGGGTCCTCGTGCCCGCATCTCACTGCACCGACCATGCAGACGTTCTGCAGCGGGGTCTTGCGCGGGCGTCTGCCAGCGCAGGCGGATTTCACGCAAGGCGAGGCGAATGTCGCGTGGACTCGTTGCAGCAGTCTTCACTCCTGGCCAGATGAAGTCCGCACGAAGTTCGCGTCGAAATCCGGAACGAAATCTTCCGGGACAATCCTGGCCCATCCCAGCGCTTCCCGAACGCAAGCCGCTCTGCGATGTTGGCGCCACGACGCATCCCGAACCCCGTCTGACTACCTACCAGACCACCCCACCCCAACCCGAAGATCCGAATTTCGGGTCGGGGGGGGGGTATGGGCTCCATGTGTGCTTTTTCGATGTCCTCGGGCCCCCCCCCCCACTGGAAATGGAGGGCAGATTGAGGCCTTCGGGCTGGGTTGGGGTGGTTTGGTGGGTGGGTGACCGCCCCCAGGCGAGCGACGAGCAGACGCGGCCTCTGCGCGAGAGGGCGCAGCCACCGCACGCCGCGGCCTGCGCGGGCCCCCGGCGGCGGCACGCCGCGCGGAGAAGTGGGGGGGCGTGGCGCCCGCGCGTGACCCCGCGCGGGAAGCTTACACCTCAGGGGGCCACCTGCGAGCCCTGCCCCTGCCCCCCCCCCCACGACTTCCGAGGGGAGGGTGGGGTCCACTTCGCTCGGGAGCTCCCGAGCGAAGGGAACCCCAACCCTCCCCCTCAGAAGTCGTGGGGGGGGGGTAGGGGTGGGTTCGCATGCGGCCCCCTGCCTTCTCGGAGCCCATCGACCCCCCTCCTCCTCCTCCTCCTCCTCCTCCTCCTCCTCCTCCTCCTCTCCTCCTCCTCCTCCTCCTCCTCCTCCTCCTCCTCCTCCTCCTGCTCCTCCTCCTCCTCCTCCTCCTCCTCCTCCTCCTCCCCCTCCTCCTCCCTGCGAGTGTCCGCGCAGTCGAACTCGGTTCCTTCCGCCCCCCCGTGGCTCCCGCTCCCGCGGGCCCGGCGCGGCGCGGCGGCGGCGAGAGGAGCGGCGGCAGGCAGAGCGGCCGAGGTCGGAGCGCACAACTGCCGCACCAGCACGGCCCCCGAACAGACGCTGACCTTGTAGGTCGACCCCGAGACGAGCACCTCACACGTCGGATAGTCGCTCCCGTAATTGTCGGGGGGGCGTAAGACCTGGGTACAAGGGACTCGGAAATCCCCGACGAGGTCGTCAAAAGAATGACGAGGCCGAGCCTGCATTTTGACGAGGCCTCCCGCTGCAGACATCCCACGAAACTCCTCCTCGTCAAAATCCGAGACGGGGTCGTCAAAAAACGATGGCGAACCCGAGTCCTGGCAAACCCGGGTCTTACGCTCCCCCGAAATTGGACGTGTGGAAGCCGTTGTACTCCGGAAAACATATGAGGTGCGTGCCCCAGGGGTAGGGCCTCACGACATTGGTGAGCACGTCCTCGGAGTACGGAGCTAGCTCGTAGCCAGACGGTAGCGCCGCATAAGAGTCGTCGCAGTCGGTTGCCGTATTGTCTCTGGCAAACCCCGTCAGCGTTCTGTACGTGTACCCGTCGTAATTCTTGCTGTAGCCAACCTCCGCTGGACAATAGAGTTCAGTCAGGTAGCGGGCTGGGGCTGCTTCTCCGTCAGATTCCAGATATCGACGCTCTTCCCCTCGGCGGCGCGCAATGGTGGGTGGGCGGTGGGGCGGGCCTTGGCCTTGAAGAAGGCAGGGGTTGGAGGCGGCCGGGGGGTCTGCGCTGGATGTTCCCCAAGAGGGGGGAAGAGCGCAAATTCGGGGGCAACGATAAGGGTGAATAGCCCAGGGGTGAGCCATACATGTATCCAGAGGCGCCGACGGTCCATGTCTTCGGCGAGGCTCCCCGGCGAAAAAGGTGCAATGCCCGCCCCTGGGCTACTCGGCCCTATCGTCGCCTCCGGACAACCCGCTCAAAATCAGCGCCCGGCCCGATGTTTCACTCCGGATCGATTCCCGGCGGTCCTGGGGTCCAACAACTCGACATCCTCGTTCCACGACTCGCAAAGTAACTAGTCGCAAACGGCCTGGATCCACCGCGGGGGATTTGCGATCAACTTGATCGAGGCAAACGTGTGTGCGTGTGCGTGTGCGCGTGTGCATGTGTGCATGTGTGCATGTGTGCGTGCGTGCGCGTGTGCGTGTGTGCGTGTGTGCGTGTGTGCGTGTGCGTGTGCGTGTGCGTGCGTGCGTGCGTGCGCGCGTGCACGCGCGTGCGCGTGCGCGTGCGCGTGCGCATGCGCGTGCGCGCGTGCGTGAGTGCGTGTGCGTGTGCGCGTGCGCGTGTGTGCGTGTGTACGTGAATGCGTGCGTGCGTGCGTGCATGCGTCCGTGCACGCGTGCGTGCATGCGTTCGTGCACGCGTGCGCGTGCGCGCGTGCGCGTGCGCGCGTGTGCGTGTGCGTGCGCGTGCGCGTGCGCGTGCGCGAGCGCGAGCGCGTGCGCGTGCGCGTGGGCGAGCTCGTGCGCGTGCGCGCGTGCGCGCGTGCGCGCGTACGCGTGCGCGTGCGCGTGCGCGTGCGTGCGCGCGCGCGCGCGTGCGTGTGCGTGTGCATGTGCGTGTGCGTGAACGTGTGCGCGTGCGCGTGTGCGTGTGAGCGTGAGCGTGAGCGTGTGCGAGTGCGTTTGCGTGTGCGAGTGCGTGTGCGTGTGCGTGTGCGTGTGCGTGTGAGTGTGCGTGTGCGTGTGCGTGTGCGTGTGCGTGCGCGTGCCGCGTGTGCGTGTGCGCGCGTGCGTGTGCGTGTGTGCGTGCACGTGCGTGTCTGTGTGTGCGTGTGCATGTGCGTGTGCGTGTGCGTGCACGTGCGCGTGTGCGTGTGCATGTGCGTGTGCGTGCGCGTGCGCGTGTGCGTGTGAGCGTGAGCGTGTGCGTGCGTGCGTGTGCGTGTGCGTGTGCGTGTGCGTGTGCGTGTGCGGGTGCGTGTGCGCGTGCGCGTGTGCGTGCGCGTGCAGGCGCGTGCGCTCGCGCGTGCGCGTGCGCGTGCGCGTGCGCGTGCGCGTGCGCGAGCGCGTGTGCGTGCACGTGCGCGTGCGCGTGCGCGTGCGCGTGCGTGTGCGCATGTGCGTGCGTGAGCGTGTGCGTGTGCGTATGCGTGTGCGCGTGCACGTGTGCGTGTGCGTGAGCGTGCGCGTGTGCGTGCGCATGTGCGTGTGCGTGTGGCGTGTGCGTGTGCGTGAGCGTGAGCGGCGCGTGCGCGTGCGCGTGTGCGTGCGTGCGCGTGCGCGTGCGCGTGCGCGTGCGCGTGCGTGTGTGCGCGTGTGCGTGCGTGTGCGTGTGCGTGTGCGTGTGTGCGTGTGTGTGTGTGTTTGCGTGTGTGCGGGCCGGCGGGCGGGCGGGCGGGTGGGCGGGCGGGCGCGTGCGGGCGGGCGGGCGGGCGCGTGCGGGCGTGCGTGCGTGCGTGCGTGCGTGCGTGCGTGGGTGCGTGTGTGTGTGTGCGTGCGTGCGTGTGCGTGCGTGTGGTGTGTGGTGCGTGTGGCGTGTATGTGTAGGTGCATGTCTGTGTGTATGTGTATGTGCATGTGTATGTGTATGTGTGTCTGTGTGTCTGTGTGTCTGTGTCTGTGTCTGTGTCTGTGTGTGGCCGACCAGCCCCCAAGCCGCAACACCGCCCAAAAGTCACGACCAGAGCCCTCGGCCCCATCTTTCTGCGTCATTTTTCGAGCCGGATCGATCTGTGAGGGTGCCAGGGCCCGAAACCTGGCGAAAACGCCCATTGCGAAAAAATTGCAACGCCAGGATCTGAGGGTCAGCCCCCACAGCCGGCTCCAAGGCAGCGGGGTCTTCTCGGAAGCCCACCGGCCGCCCCTTTCTAAGAAGCTCCCCGCCGCCGCCCCCTCGGGAGAGGCTGCCCCCAGGGGTGCCCGCTCAGACCTCGCGCTCCCGGGGCGGTTCCACGCGCGCAGCTATTCCCACAGTCGGAAGAGGAGGAGGAGGAGGAGGAGGAGGAGGAGGAGGAGGAGGAGGAGGAGACGGAGGAGGAGGAGGAGAAGGAGGAGGAGGGGGAGGAGGACCAGTGAAAGCCCAAAACTCGTCAACGATGTTGGAAAGCACCCTCCCTCCCTCCAAGCTTCCTCGTCATAGGCCGCAGTAAAATTTGATTGCCACTGAAAGAACTGCCCCATTGGGGGAGAACCGTTTGAAAATCCTGGCGCGCGGCATAGCACCATTCTCAGGACAACGCCACGAGTAAACCTGATTGTTGCGTCTTGATCCTGAATGGCGCCAGAATCACTAGAACGCCATTCCTGGGACCTCAACACCGCGAATCAACATAACTATTGCGCCCTCACGATCCTGAATCGGCCCAGAAGAACAACATATCTGGTACGTTACCCATGAAGGTCACTGGAACTCTTGCAAGCTGTTGTAAAGAATGTGCGGGGCGCTAAGGCAAAAACCACCTGCTTAAAAACAACCGCCCTCAATCCGTGAAACTCTTGCAGGCTCTTAAAACCAATGTGCACGGCGCTAAGGCAAGAACCACATGTTGAAAACCACCCGCCCTCAATCCGTGAAGCTCTTGCGAATCTTTAGAACGAATGCGCGCGGCGCTAGGGCGAGAACCACCCGACTCCAATCCGTGAAACGATTGCGAATGCTTAGGAAGAATATGCGAGGCGCTACGGCGAGAGCCACACTTTGGAAGCAATCCACCCTCCATCTGTGAAGCTGCTGTAAGCTTCTGAGCTTCAGGCTCACAGAGGTAAGAAAGTCTCAGACGAAACGCCCGGCCCGCCCTTCCAACTGGCCCCGGGGGGAGGACTTATCCAGGATGACACGGAATTGTAAAGGAGAAGGAGGAGGAGGACGAGGAGGCGGAGGAGGCGGAGGAGGCGGAGGAGGCGGAGGAGGCGGAGGGGGATGCGGAGGAAGAGGAGGAGGAGGAGGCGGTGAAGGAGGAAGAGGAGGCAGAGGAGGCGGAAGAGGCGGAGGAGGAGGAGGAGGAGGAAGAGGAGGAGGGGGATGAGGACGAGGAGGCGGAGGCGGAGGAGGCGGAGGAGAAGGAGGAGGAGGAGGACGAGGAGGGGGAGGAGGGGGAGGAGGGAGGAGGAGGAGGAGGAGAGAAGGAGGAGGAGAGGAGGACGAGGAGGAGGAAGGGAGAGACGAGAGGAGAAGGAGGAGAGGAGGAGAAGGAGGAGGAGGAGGAGGAGAAGGAGGGGGGGGCCGACCTGCCATCCGCGCGAGGCCAGCCTGCTGACCTCACGCGCGGCCCGCCCTGGCAAGCGTCCCGAGAGCTGCGCCCGCGGCCGCGGCGACGAGCGGGCGCGCGCCCGGACGGGCCAAAACCGCAGCAGCGAGAGGGCGGGGGAGGAGGCTGGGGGAGGAGGAGGAGGAGGAGGAGGAGGAGGAGGAGGAGGAGGAGGAGGAGGAGGAGGAGGAGGAGGAGGAGGACGAGGAGGACGAGGAGGACGAGAGGAGAGAGGACGAGAGGAGGAGGAGGAGAGGAGGAGGAGGAGGAGGAGGGGGAGGAGGAGGGGGGGAGGCGGCTGGCACGACGGAGACACGGGTCCTGAGGCAAGGCGGGCCCCGAAGATCCCGCGGGTCCTCCCCGGGGCCAGCTCTTCACCCCGAGTCGTTTCCTCGGGGCACGACGAGGCCCCGGGAAGGGCCCCGAGAGCGCGGAGAGCGCGGGAAGCGCGCAGAAGCTCAAGACCCGCATCGGCACCTGGCGGGGGAGGGGAGGAAAAGCCTCCCAAACGTGGACCGACCCGGCTCGGAGAAGAACCCGGCTCGTTCAGTATTGAGCAAACTGCACTGCAATTTTTTTGCGCGGGTTCCCGCACATGGCCCAGCCAACGCGCAACACCACCTCTGGGGGCCGCGAGCGGCCCCCAGAACTCGGCTCAGCCAAGATCCGGTTTGGCAAGACCATGCAAGATCCAACGCCATGGCTGAGCCACGTTTGCGCCAAGCCCCGTCGCCTGCTTTCTGGATCGTTCGGCCTTGAACCATCCCCGCCCTCCAGTGGCGCAGACTGCCCGATGCTGGCCGACCCCTTTGGCCACCTGCGCCGCTCAGCCTGGAGCACCTCGCAGAGGCCGCCAGAGGGCCGCCGCCAAGGGGGCCCGGCCCCGAGTCAAGACATCCACGCGGGCCCCACGAGGCACGAGGCACGCAGCACGCCCGCACACGGGCACCCTTTTGGGGTGCTGCGGGTACGGCGCCGGAGCGCTGGAGCGTCCGAAAGCGAGGCCTGATCAGAGGTTGCCCGTGAAGCCGGAGATCATGCTCTCGAGGCTGGAGGTCGAAAGCTGGCGATGGGAGCCTGGATGGTGGCAGCTGGTGGTGACTGCTGTGAGGCTCAAGCTGTGAGTCTGAATTCACGCGGGCCTCAGAAGTTTGCAGCTCGCTCCTTCCTCGAAAGAGCAGCGAGTAGCCGCCAGCGCGCATCGATCACGACGACGGGGTGCCTCCAGGTCCCTCTGGAGTTCCCCGTCCTCTGCCGTTTTCCACGAGGACTCCAGGAGCCGCACAAGAGGGCCCCAAGAGGCCCAGATCACTGATGCTCTTTAGGTTCTTCAATGATTTTCGCGTTCCCCCGTTTCGGGAACCCGGCACTCCAAGACGGCCCAAGACGCCCCAAAGATCGCCCCAGGACCGCCCAAGAGGCGCCGAAGAGGCCACCAGGACGGCCCCGAAAGGCCTCCCAAGAGATCCCCACAGGCATCCAAGAGGCCTGTGTTCTGCGACGTGGGAGGCACGGTGGCGAAATGGGCCGAAGGCCACCACCTCCGCCGCTTCGCGTGTTGATCGCAAGGGTGCTTGGGCTGCACAACTGCTTACCGGTTTGAACATGCGTGTCCTTGTTGCCAAAGGCCCTCGGCCGATCCCGCCGGTCAACCGGAGAGGCCCGAGCGATCCACAGAGGAGCGCCCTGCGCCTCCAAGATGGAGGCGGCCCAGGACGGTCTGAGGAGACCTTCAAGACAGCCCGAGACGACTCCAAGACGGCAAAGATGGCCTCCAAGTCGGCCCCATCTGCCTCCCAAGACAGCCCCAAGATGCCCTCCTGACAGCCCAAGAGGCCACCAAGACGTCCCGAGAGGGAAAGAGGCCTCTAAGAAGACTCCCAGGATGAAAAAATCATGTATTGTCGCTTGGTTTCTCCATGAAGTTGGTGATCTCGCCTTGTCGGGCTTCCGACATCCGAAGACGAAGGCCTCCAAGAGAGCCCCAAGACAGCCCCAGAATCCCCCAAGAGGGCCCCGAGACGGGCCAAGAGGTCTTCAAAACGACCCCAAGAGGGTCCAAAGAGGACCCCAACACGGCACCAAAACGGCCCCGCAGACCTCCAAGACGGCCCTCAAGCGGCCAAAGAGGGTCCCAAGACGGCCCAGAGGGAGCCCCAAGACGGCCTCCGAAGGCTAAGAGGCCCCCAAAGGCTCCCAAGAGATCCCGCAAAGCCCCAGAAGGCCCAAAGAGGACCCCCAGAGAACCCAAGACGCACCCAAAAGACATTACGTTCCTCCTGTTCCTCCTTCTCCTCCTTCTGCGTCTCCTCCTCCCCTCCTCCCTTTTCTATTTCTCTTTTTCCTCCTCCCCTCCTCCTCCTCCTCCTCCTCCTCCTCCTCCTCCTCCTCCTCCTCCTCCTCCTCCTCCTCCTCCTCCTCCTCCTCCTCCTCATCCCCCTCCTCCCCCCCTCCTCCCACAAGGGTTCCCCCGAAGGTTTCCACAAAGGTTGGGGAAACACGTAGACCAATAACTTGGCAAGACTTCGACGCAACGTTTGGCCACCTAGGCGTTTCCAAAATGCAGGGGGCGACGATGGTTCGCCGTAGGCGCCTTCGATATCATGTTCGCAACATTTGCTGTATCATCCACCTTCAAGTAAGCAGCCAAAAAAAGGACCTGCGTACAAACAGCCCTGGCTCGCAAATACACACACACCCAAAAGGTGCGCGGAGGCATCCTGAATTCCCACTGAAGGCCTCCGCGGGCCTCCCGTGAGGTCCAGGCATGGCCAGAAACGCCCCCCTAAAACTTTTCAACCAACGCGTGCCTCGAGCCAACCCTCGGGAGCCTTGAGACGGGGGCAATGCAAACCGGGGTCAGCCAGGGCGCGGGATCTCGCAGAATCCTGCAGAGCTAGGGTTGCCTTGACCCGGGCTGGCGCGCAGGATCCTGCAGGATCCTGCAGGACCTTGCAGGATCCTGCAAAGGCCGACTGGCCCGGGTTTGCACTGACCAGGGTCGGTGCGTCCGGGGAAACCAAGAGGTACTGATACTGCTACTCCCCGGGCCTCTCCCCGGGTGCGTTCTGACCAGGATTTCGAAGCGAACCCAGCGGTGGCGACGAGGGCTTCCCAGGAGGCCCACAAACGGAAAACAAGGGAAGGGTAGAGGTATGGGTACCTTTCGGCGGTGGACTAACCTCCCTTTAGTAAACCTCCCTTTAATGAAAATGGCCTGGGACCGAAACCGACGGACCTGGACCCGCAAAAATGACGGCCGCGACGCCCCCATCGCGAACCGAAAACGGCCAATTCTCTGATCGACGTGTCAGGGTAGGAGGTCTATCAACCTCCGATGTTCCTCCTCTGAGCGTCCCCGAAACCCCCTTTCTGGGCGCCGCCGGCCTCCGTCGCCGTCAACCGCAGCCATAGACCCGCCACTGGCTGTCCATCCCTGGCCACTCGCCGGCCACTGCTGGCCGCCTGCCGGCCACTGTCCCGCGGGCGGGAGTGGCTCGCGCAGCTGCGCCTGGAGGGCCGAACTCCTCTCTCCCTCCCACTCCTCCTCCCTCCTTCTTTTCCCTACTCGCCCCCTCCTCCCTCTCCTCCTCCTCCTCCCTCTCCTCCTCCTCCTCCTCCTCCTCCTCCTCCTCCTCCTCCTCCTCCTCCTCCTCCTCCTCCTCCTCCTCCTCCTCCTCCTCCGCCTCTCCTCCTCCTCATCCGCCTCCGCCTCCTCCTCCTCCTCCGCCGCCGCCTCCTCCTTCCTCCTCCTCCTCCT